TGTCTAAAGTGGACTATCGAAATAAAGTGTTACCAAAAACATACATTTACACAAAAGCTGACAACCAGCTGCAACTTTCAGACACTGTTTTTTTTTTTTTTTTGTTAGCTCAACTGTCAAGGAATGGAACACACAGGATAGTGGGAAAAGGCTATAGCCATACTATAAGACATTTGCACACTTAACTAACATTATTTAAATAATTTCAGTGCCTAAAAATATTTTTGTCTTATTAGTTTTACTTTTATGATGTGCTCAAGTTTTGGTGACAAAAGTTAAGAATGCAAACCCCAATGTCATAGAGAGCCATCAGCACAGCAAAACTGCTGAGGTGAGAACAGGAGCAGACAGTCTGATCGGCACTGGAGCTCACTGTAGTGCAGCCCCGTGTTGACCACGCGCCCCCTTCCAGTTTATGATCCCAAAACACACAGATATGCTTCTCATTCTTTTTCTGGAGGGAAATGTATATGTAGAAATATAAATTAAGAATCCATCACATTGGTGTAACACATTGTATGAGGTACATTGAGAGTAAATTGTTCCATACCTCCAAGTGAGAAAACGTGAGATGTACTGGTTTCTTTAGATTGGTTGTCTCATTGTTACTAACAGCGGCAGTTACAACTTTTGAATTGATCTTGAAAGTTTGGTTTTGCCATGTCTCTAAATGGTTAAAATAGCTATTGAGTGATTTCTCCAGACTTTTGTAGCTGAGGAAAGCTGCGGTCGTAAAGCCTGGTTGATGCACAAAGACAGTAAAAATCATTAAAAAAGTAACTTTTTATTGTATTTTATTTTATAAATTGGAATAAATGAAATTAGGAATATATACCAAGGTGATTATGTCCTGTTGCTGTGTCCCAGTGGGAGGTAAATTGTGTATCGCTGGTGGACATTATCAAATCAGGTGGAGAACTGTCCATCTTTCGCAACATCACCACTTCTGAAAGGCAAAAACCACATTGCGAATGTAAGAATAAATTGATGTATGATACTTACGTGTCATATTTTTTTGTGTAGACCTATTTCTTACCAGTTTCAGTGCTTAATCTCCTGGTCTCGCTTTTTGACAGCTGAGATCCGATCAGTTTTAGCATGATTTCCACAATACTAAACATTGCTGAGACTTTAGCATTATCACAATGTAAGCCAGCATGAAGCAGATCATCTAGAGCACTCAGAAATGCCTATATGCGGGTGGGTAAAAAGAGAGAGATTTGTGGATCAAGATGATGTTTAAGTATAAGCACTCATTTGAGCTCGGCAGTTAATTAAACTTAAGAGCATTTATGCTAAACTAAAAAATACCTTAAAATAATTTCTGTTAAAACTTGTATGTCATGTATTTAAATATATTTGTAATACACATTTGTAATGATGCAGTTCAGTGCATTTTAAATGTATTAACTGTAATACTGAATAACACACCACAGTTACATTTCTAATCAAGTACACGTGCTTTAGTCAACTCATCAAAAATAAGTGTACTTCTTTAAAGCATGACATAAGATTATTAAAACAATGATTTAAAATGTACTTTAAAATTTTTTATTGGACATTACAAAGAGCACTTTTTTGTCTATAATGCAAATATAATTGTATAAAAGTTATAAACATATTTTAAAACATGCTTTAAATTTAAGTGCTCTTTTTGTACTAGGGTATCCATAGCCAAACTATTGTTTTATTGCAATAAAATGTCTCGGTTACGTATGGTAACCCTCGTTCCCCGAAGGAGGGAACGGAGACGTCACGTCGTGTCCCCCGCGTTGGGATGAATTGGGATCCCTACCAAAGCGCCATGGTGCTGCCTCTTCCAGTGCCCTGTGCGAGCCGCCTGCGCCCCTATCTGGTGTAGGCCGGGGCTCGGGACAAGTAGTTCCATTCACCATTTTTCAACGCACTACCTCACTGGGTGAGATTGGATAACACTGGGAAAACGTACCCGCTCCACTTGGAACAGGGACGCTGCGGAAGCCCCATCCTTCCC